TGTCCTTCCTCTGCCTTTTGATCTTGCTAACTTTTTTCTGAGGCTTCTTCTTTGCCTTCCTCTTCTTCTTGCCTGATTTGCCAGTTTCAACAAGCATGGCAATGGGCTCATCCTTCTTTATCAGTTCCTCGACCCTCTGCAACATATTGCTGAGTTTTTGGATGCTAACATTTAGCTTGTTCATGTTGTAGTTCATGATGAACTGATTAAAGGAAGGAGGTTAAGAATTTAGGATGGCATCAACCTTGGTGACATGATCAAGCCCGGATCCAAGAGCCTCAAGTTCATTGATGTATCCCATCATCTTAAGACAATGGTCATGAACTTGCTGGTTCTTGGACATTTGCGGGGTCATAAACTGTTTCAACACCTGACGAGTAGAACAATTATGCTCCTCATACATCGTCCTCAGACTATCCAAGATATCTATGGACAATTCGATCTGATTGAGCTATCGCTGTATCGGATTATCCAAGGAGGCTATGATGTAACATCAGACAAGAGAATTTTTCTCTTCCATTCTTGATAATCCCTCCTACGGGCCTCAGAAGCCCTATCACCTGGACGTTCCGGGGCAGGGTTTTTAGCTACCTTGTCCAATTTCTCGGACGTTAGGATTAGCATAAGGTTATGGTACTAGTCAGCGTAATTAGGGCCCTTAAATTTGTTGTCGTCCAGCAATTTAGCGAATTGTCCGTTTGCCATTTCTAATAAAGGCAAAACAAATATTAGTCCACAACCTTATTTGATTCATGTTATTTACATAGATATGACTTTTAATCTATGTTCCATTTCCATTTATTCATCTCTAAGATTTCCCTCCTATCTCAGTGACGGAGACTGCGAATTATGTCTCTAAAAATGTGGGCAATCACATAGGGTGCATGGAGCCAACTGTTTCAGCTGCATAACCCCACCACCTTTTTGTGAAGGCTCATATCCACTCATGTTATGAGCTTTCCCTTTGGCCTCTGTCAGACAAGGTTCATTACCATTTTAGGTTAAACCTTTCTGTCCAGTGAGTGTTCACCCATCATGTTCATGAAAGCCAATGTACCATGAGAGAGTTCCATTTTAGGATAGGTCCCTCCCACATTGGTCTATGACGCCCCTATCATCTCATGAAACATTCCAACAGATCCAACAGCAAATGGATAGCCCAATTTTATGGTGTGTTTCCTCATTACTGAAGGACCCATCATCATGTTAATGATGGAATGCCTTTAGAGAGTTCATCATATGAATCTTCCTATCACATGCACTCATATTTCAGTGGAGGGAACGATATATTATGCCTAGTTTAATTTAGGTCAAACCAAAGTGGCTCCCACTGACTTTCATAAAGCCAGATTTAGATAGCCCTAAACGGCTAGGGTTCCGCACGATTCCTCTTCGGAAAGACGCTGGAGTGGGGCTCACCATAAAGGAAAATCATCCAATGATCTTAAGGACACTATGGCAATGGTGTGCATTCGGCCATGGTGTGCGCAAGAGCCACTATCGTTTCAGTATGGGTCAAGTACTTATGGCCCATAAACGTTGCATATCACACATCCTTACATCACATGCATGAACAACATAATTGATCCAATCAATTAAATAATTGTAAAACCTATAACTAAAGCCCATAAATTTTCATAATATTACTGATTAATATTATCTAGGTATGCAATTCAGCCCATATAGATTTTATGCTGAAATGGGCTAAAGTAGTTTTAACATATTAAAACTGGGTTTTATAGGTATAGGATGAATTGCATCTTGCAATTAACCATCAACTTTTGGACCCATGAGTGAAAAATTAGGGCTAAGAACACCCCATTAAACCATAGATTCGGTCCAATCTGGTTTGAATGGGTCTAAGGTTTGATTTTTAATTCAAGATTTAATTCAAGAACATGATCTAAAATTAAATTACTGATACAAGACATTCAAGAATCAATAAGGGGGGCTGTTCGTAGGACTGCTACCCTACAAAACAGAAGTTAGATCATAGCAAGCAGTTTCCAAAGCTGCAAATCGGAAATGGCCGAACCCTAATCTGCGAAATTCTCCTCGTGCTTTCTGCTTCAACTTTGAATGGAATAAAATACAAAACCTAATTTCTATTAATATTACATCAAAATTGAATTCCTATACATTCTGTCTAAAAATTAAAAAAAAATTAATTACAGACCAAGAATGAAAAAGAACAGCAGGTGCACAAATTTCTCGCCATTAAAGATTTCGATCTCCACTGTACGAACAACCCAAAAATCAAGAAAAATATGTAGAATAATTCTAAATATAATTCAGACTTATAAATATTTAATTTCAAATCAATCGCCCAAAATCTGGGAACAAATTTCCCAGAAAACGCTAATTTGTGCAAATCGGGTAGAACGCTTTCTGCCCATTTGCGCAGATCCAGATTTGGTTAATTTTGGTTCAAGATTTGAACCTAGCTCTGATACCACTGGAGGGATGAGAGATCCATCATATGGATGGCCGAACCCTGCAGGAAGGTTGGTCGAAATTTCAAAAATTTCTCTCTCTCCCATGTGGGAATCGAATTCCCTATTTTAGAAAATTGCATTTTCAAGGATCAATCTTGAACCTAACCAGACTAGATCTGAAACCAAAAGGGAGTTGAGCATATACCTGATACCAAGTAGTAATAAATTATAATGAAGGTGTTCACTCCCAAGGATAGATCCAAAGACTGCTTCCACCGAAGATGACACGGTGTAGGATGAAGCAGAATCAGCAGGATGGTTCTTCAACAAGAACCGAATTCTTCAGCAAGAATCTGATGGAGGGCTTGTGAGCACGACTTTAGATTACCTTTTCTGCCAAAAGGTAATACCAAGAACTCTTCTTGATCGCTCCCACAGGTGGAGATCGAACTGGTATGGCGGTAAGAGCAGGAGAAAAGGAGACAGTGCAGTCAGACTGTGTTGTCTCTCTCTGGAAATCAGCAGTCACTCAGATGATTTCTGTTGTGTACTAAGGGTTCGCCCTGCTCTCCTATTTATAGCCTTAAAGAGAGGTTCTCCTAATTCCATTAGGAGTTTCTTAATTCAAATCTTGTATTTGGATCTGGACTCTCTTTAAGAGATAAGGATAATCCCTTATCTTATCTRCAGATAAAGATMARCCCTCCTAATMTARTTAGGAGTTTCCTGATCCAAATCTTTATTTAGATTTGAACTCTCTAAGTGGATAGGGATAATCCCTTATCCTATCTGCTGATCTAAATCCCATAATCACCCTTTTTAATTAATCTCATTAAGCCAATTCGAATTGGGATTTAGGCCCATTAAGTCTATCTACTCACTTAGCCTCCTAGCTGCTGCCTAGTTGGTTATCCTTGTATGGCGTGGGACCCAAACATTGATCTACATATCAACAACATGGGTTCAGCCTAACCTCTATTACAAGGCCTGGCCGAATTCACTGTAGGAGACAATGAGCCCCTGAGTCCATCACCATGGGCTCTTAATGGGCCCAATATTTACACTAAATGGTCCTTGGGGCAAACCACCTTATAAAAACCCAAGGACTGTGGGAAGATGCATGATTAGCCCATCAGGTATTACCCTCAAATGATCTTACACTTAACCTCTCAGCCCATAATTATCAAACACTATCCAGCAAGAGAGGACCTCTCCCTCGGCTGCAAGGTATAGTGCTACACTCTCTACTCACATGGATTCTGGGAATTAAAACCTTTTGCAAACATTTTGAAACCATAATATATATTTGTATATCTCTATATAAATATATTTTGCAAAACAAATTTCAACAGTTGAAATCAACTGTCGGTAGTTTAGGTTTCCATCAGAGAGAGTGCATCTCCGATCATTCCCTTTGTCCATCAAAGGGGCTGATCCTATCACTATGATCACCCACTCAAATGAATTCTCGGATTGTCCCAACAAACCCAGGTTTTGGCCCCCTCTAAGGATCTCATTGATTGGCATATCAAAGACAACCCAACCCGACACCTAGTGTAGTATCATAATCGAGTCTAGGGGTCAGGTGTAATATTCCAGTTTTGCCTATCTATCTCCAAGGTTCAGGGCAATGTTGGAATTCTGGTATGGTTCAGGGTTTCAAGAAAACCCACACTGCATGTACCTCAGGTCTTATCCTGGCAGCTGGGACAAGCAACCCCAACCAACTTGGCGACACATTAGTGTCAGCCTTAGCAGGATAAATCTCCCAAATCTATCCAATGGCTATGAAGATTCTAAACTAACTCGAGTCTCATATGTATCAAATTTAAAGGTATTACAGAGAAACACACCATAATAACATGAATCAAATATGTACTTTATTTATTTACATTAATTGGCATAATATACATCATTCTGATTGGAGTTAAGGGTATACACTGTCTAATATCTCATACATAAAAAGTTCTTTGGGAATCAAATACATAAACAAAAATTAATCATGTATGGAATGTTTATATAATTATGAGTTATGAAATATGTTTAAATATTAAATGAATGCATACATATGCATGTATCTTATATACACTAATAAATATATTTTTAATAATTTAATTTCTGAAATTCAGAAAATCAGACCAAACCAAAAAAAAAGAATTACGGTCTAAGAAATTCTCAGACCAAACTAAATTGATTTTTAAGGCCAAACCAGACCAAACTGCCAATTACAGTTTTGTTCAGTGCAACTTGGTGGTCTGGACCATATAATGGACACCCCTAAACCAGATCAAGTCACTAAAGGGCAGATAAAGGTCTGAGCCGGGTTCTAGAAGTTAAGCAACTATAAAGCATTTGTGCATGCATGGTGTGATTCAGAGAGGCAGGGCTTAGACATTTGCTTCAACCAAACCCAAAAGTTGAGTTAGGTTAAAGGTCAAGTTAGGATTAAACCAAACTTTGAGTTGGGTTGGAATTGAAGCCTCAGGCAACTCAACTTAATACAATCTTAGTTGACGTGTCTCTTCAAACTACTGTTGATTTATATACTAGTAATTTTCTTCCCAGGTACTGGTCTAAGCATTCTCTTTCTACTTGCTTGTGGCTCTTTGTTATATTACACAATCAAGAAAAGAAAGCTTATCAAACTTCGACAGAAGTTCTTTCAACAAAATGGTGGTTTATTACTGCAACAACAGATCTCGTCGCGTAGAGGTGTTTCAGATATTGCCAAGATCTTTAGTGAAGAAGACCTTAAGAAGGCAACAAACAATTTTGATGAAAGTCATATCATTGGTCAAGGAGGTTATGGCAGGGTTTACAAAGGAATTCTACCAGATAAAAGAGTAGTTGCCATTAAGAAGTCTAAAATAATGGACCAGAGCCAAATTTTACAATTTATAAATGAGGTTGACATCCTTTCTCAAATCAACCATAGAAATGTGGTGAAGCTGTTGGGTTGTTGTTTTGAGACAGAGGTGCCCTTGTTAGTCTACGAATTCATCTCCAACGGAACCCTTTACCAGCACCTCCATAATGAGGATCACGCATCGCCTATTCCATGGGAAAAACGCTTGAGAATTGCAGCTGAAACTGCAGGAGCATTAGCTTATTTGCATTCTGCACATTCCATACCAGTTCTTCATAGAGATATGAAGACTGCTAACATATTGTTGGATGATAATTATATCGCAAAAGTTTCAGATTTTGGAGCTTCGAGGTTGGTTCCTATGGATCAAACTCAAATGACTACACTGGTTCAAGGGACATTAGGTTATTTGGATCCAGAATGTTTTCATACAGGTCAATTAACAGATAAAAGTGATGTTTATAGTTTTGGTGTTGTGCTTGCGGAGCTATTAACTGGAGAAGAACCACTATCACCAGAGAGGCCCCCAGAACATAAAAGTTTAGCGATGTATTTCCTTTCTTCAATCAAAGAGAACCGTCTCTTTGAAATACTTGAGAATGAAGTTCTGAATGAGGGAAACAGAGAGCAATTAATGGCTGTTGCTATGCTTGCAAAGAGATGCCTAAAACTGAAAGGCGAAGAAAGGCCTACAATGAAAGAAGTGGCAGCAGAGCTTGAAGGGTTGAGAAAGATCCAACAGCATCCATGGGTACAAGGAAATCAAGAGGAAACTGAATATTTGCTGGGTGAACCATCAAGCTATTCAATTGATAATGGCAATGCAACAGGTCAGGAAAGCTTGGGGAATGACTTCATATTAGAAATTGATATTGCACGCTAAGAATTTAACACAATGTCTTGCAAAATTTGTATGTTATTTTATGTGTCAACTGTCAACCCTTGAATGATTAGTGCTTATGGGAATGTAATCAAAAGTGTAAATTTTACTGCTTGAAATACTAGAGAATGCAAAATTATCTCTTAATTGCATACGAATAAATTATGTCTCCCTTTGTTAATTTGCTATGCAATATTTTTCTTTTTCAGTTTTTCTTTAGTAATACAAATGCAAGAAAACATATATCACAAAAATTTTACTTTATCAGCTTTAAGTTTTATTTTATCTGGTGTAAATTCCACTGTAGGAAAATCAAAGTAAAAATTAGGATTAGTTTAGGAGATCAGAGTGATACAAATATGCTCAGGATTAGAAATACAAATATGGACTGTATGCAAGATTTTGCATTGAGTATATTTGTCTTTATATTCTTCCCAAACAGATCCAAGCTAGACAAAAACAAATCAGAACTTTTAGTCAAATCACTTGCATTCCCATACTTTTCCGCACTTGTAATGTTACTAATGTAAAGATGGGTCTGCTACTAAGGTCATTAAGTTAGCTTCCCTAAATTAAATGACCCAATAACCGGTCCACGTGGCAACCTATTTTGTCGAAGAAAGACCTCCAATAGAATAAAGATCCGAAGCTGGGTGAAAGAAGCCATGATCAAGGCTCTCATATCATTTAATGAAATTTAACCTTAGCGAAAAAATAAAGAGATCGAACAAAGGTAGAAAGAGGAAGAGAGAAGTTGAATAAGAAAATAATCTCTGATTCCATTACTTATCGATCTGATCTCTAGACTACTTATAGACAAGTACAAAAGCAACAGTGTACCCAATAAAGATAGGCTTGAACTCTATCATTTCTTCTGTTCATGTTCTACTCGAATCGGGTAGATGAGTTCTATTCGGACTGGACACTCTCCATGATATTATTATGATTCATTTAGTCTACGAAATTCAATTTAAACATTTTAACTTAAGGATTGTATTTACAAATTAACCAGGACCGATGAGTCTTCTAAATACAAAGATTTTCATAATTTATTTTAGGGGTAGGAATGAGCCACAAGTATGGAGCCTCCACACAAACTCTCAGCCACAGAAATTGGTCATCCACCCAAAGCAAATTTTCTAACTTACCGACATTTAAAGATTATGCAACTCAATTAGGATTGAGATGACTTCTGTCTCTTTCAAGATGGATGATATGTTTACATCGAAACTGTTCATCAAAGATGATGTATCGTTGGAAATAGTCAAACCGCCAAGGATGTCATTAATGTTTATCGTTGGAAATACATAATAGATTCATTGAAGTTTTCTTCTATCTCTTCCTCTGTAGGGAGCAGATGCAATTAATGTTTATAAAATAAGCTATTCTTGGGCCATGTAATTAAAGCGGATGTCATTAATTAAAACCAATTTGTAGATTTTTCATCACCAAACACTATATAAATTATTATTATTATTGGAAAAATTTATTAATGAACGAAATTAATGAGAAGATAATTTCACTTATGCGCTAAAATTCTAATTCAAATTTAAAATTATGAATTAAGTATATGAATAATTAATTAATTAATGAGAGAAATTGCACTTAGATATAGGAGTAAATATAAAATTAATGAAAGATAATTCATCTCTAAACATAATTTAATGAAATTAATGAGAGAGAAGGTGACTTATATCAGGTTGTATCAGTTGATACATACCGATACATACAAAAAGGAACGCTATAGATAATTTTTATATGTTCCATTTATCGGACATGTACCGAAACTATACATATTGGCTACGGTCCAATACGTTGCAAAATTTTGAACCTTGCTCCCAGTCTTTCTCTTTGTTCAGATCAAAAGGGAATCAATGTGTGTAGGGTTATTTTGTTGGTCATAAGACTGCTTTTGTTAATGGTAACTAATTGTGATTTGATGGAAAGTTAATTTTAGATTAAAAAAAGTGATTTTAACTGTTCACTCTACCCCTAGAAATCTCAGCTCCACCTTAGGGGTAGAATGAATCCTGACCGTGGATTGATGCCAAATCCACAAACAGGATGCTGTTTATAGGGGGGTTACTAGTAGATTAGGAGGTGGCTGTAATTTTAGATTTTGAAGGAGAATACAGCCAACTTATCCTTAAAAAAATATTTTCTGACATAAGGGTTTTGGAGGTTTTGAAAGTGAAGATGAGTTAAAGAGAATTGAGAAAAAGTAATGAGGAATTATAGACAGTTGGTTGATTCTCATCGATCAAGAATCGTATGTTATATTTTTAGATTTATGTGGGTTTTCCTGAAAATAACTTTTCCACTTAAGTGGATAAATAACTTTTCCCCTTCATCTTCTAAGTGGATAAATAACTCTTTCATCTGATTAGGTGAAAATTGCTTAATGGTCATTATCATATTTAGGTGAAAAATAAAAAAAACATGAACAATTACTAGGATAAAAAAACACTTTCCGAGATAAATAACTCAACGAATTCTGCGACTGAATGATATGTGCGTAGAAAATTTTCTTGCAGGTGAGACAAAAGATTCGGATTCGGACTCTTTAGTTGATGGTATGAAAGACAAAAACTAATGAATACACAATCAGACGGAGAGAGAGGAGAGAAATTTTCCATTAACAATGTTTATTAATGACAATGGTATACATCCCACACCATTAACACACCTTTATTTGTGAATCACCGATAGAGTTGAAACAAAGAACAAGACTTCTATGTATAGAGATACAAATCACAATCCATCACATGATGCTACAGAACGTAGCGACTGCTGTATGAATTACAACATGACGAAGAACAGATTTTGCAACAACTACAGCTATCTTTTTTCCGGACGCATTGCTCTGCAACTGCAAAGAAAGTGAAGCAAATATGAAAGCATTACAAAGACCAAGTATTGATTAACAAATGAGAATATAAATAGGCTAAAGTATTTTGAGCTTACCTCGGTAGAGCTTTTCTTTTCTATTTTATTTCTCAAGAGTTGCAGTGCCGCAAAGTTATCGACAAATTTTTTATGGTTTTCATGGCGACCTTTCTTAGAAGCATAACAGTCGCAGCAAAGGTTATACTCATCTAGACTTCTGTCACAGAAGCATTCCATGCATGTAAAGTATATTTCCTTTATCAATATTCCGCACCCGCCGCAGATTACTAATCTTGCTGTCGAGATGTAAAAGAAGACAATGGCTTCGTCGAAATCTAGGAACCCATTGTTGTCCCTATCCAATTCTTCAAATAATTTTGAGTAATTATTATTATTATTACCGTACTTCTCTCCGACTAGGTATTCTTTGAACTCCGTTATGCTGATCTTCCCATCTTCATTCCGATCCATAGAATTGAATTGATCCTGAGCCATCTGCTTAATCTCAGGCGGGCTGTCTCTATAATAGCACAAGGCAGCCACTCGTATCTCTTCCATCTCTCTCTCTCTCTCTCTGCGTTTATGCATGTTTGTCCCCCTGTTCCTTATTTATAATGTATAATGGGTAAAAATGATTTTCAATTTATTATCTATCTGCCGACTTGAGCCAAGTGGAACTTATCTCCCGACTTTTCTTAGAATCCAATTAAAGTTGCTGGAAAATAATAGTAAAACTGTAAAATTCTAAAATTTGATTTCAATAAAAATATGGCTGAGAGAGAGAGAGAGATTATATTCATACAGCTTACCTAATCGAGTGTGTCTCTAAAGAATCATATAAAAACAAGGATAAGCACTGACACACACACAGACGCAGAGAGATGGAGCAGATACGCAAAGTAGCTCTAGCTTATTACAAGGAGAGTTCAGATGAGACTAAAGAGCATGTTAAAAAGCTTTTCAAAAAGATAGATGCGGACGGAAATAGAAAGGTGAGTCTCGATGAGTTCAATGAGTACTGCAGGAGAAAGAGTAAAAAGTTGCCAAAGCACTGCTTCAATGAACTAGACAAGAACGGAGACGGCTTCCTAGACTTCGAGGAAATCATCGTTTTCTTTTACATCATTCAGACGAGGACAATATCATGCTCTGGATGTGGTTCGTTGGTAATGGGTATGTATTTCACATGCGCCATTTGCTTCTACACTGAGACTTCCGTCAACCACAATCTTTGTTGCAGCTGCCACCAATCTGGTAAATCTGCTGGCTGTGAGCACAGCAACCTGGTTGACAACTATGCTCTCCTCCAGGGCATAAAAACTACGGTTAAAACCAAAAAGGTAGACCGTCCGTTATGTCTTGTCTCTTGTCTCTACTTCAGATTAAAATTCATTTCCATGCATGATTCTTTTCCTTTCTCAGATGCCTCCTTTCGTTTCTGAGATTGCGGACAAAGCTGGGGAATTCGTTGTTGAAAAGATAGAGGAATGGGCAGCCGAAACACTACAAGACAAATCTGAGGATCTACTTGACGCAGTCGACGACGCAATTGAAGCAGTAGATGATCTACTTGACGCACTGGACAATGCCTGTATCTTCATGTGATGTGTGATGGGTGGTAATTTGGATCAACATCTCTCTGGTGTAGGTTTGTTGTGTTTATTGCAAAACCCTTGAATGGATTTCTGTAATAAATAACACCGAAATGGTGAATTACTGTCGTGCATGACAAAGCTAATAAATTAAAATCACCTTTGGACCTCTCTAGTGCAATTGGTTTCTCCCTCGATCGCCATTATTTTAATAAAGGTTTTGCACTTTTTATCTTGGAAAATTAAAACATGGGTGGTAAAGGTTCACTTAAAATCATCTGGAGGCAACGAGATAACAGACATTTTCGGTCCACCATTCATAATTTGCAAGGTCTCTTTAAATTAGATCTTGCAATTTTTTTAGAAGGCCTTAGATCTTGCCTTCAAATGGAAAAGTGATTATAGAAAGAATTCTCCATCCTGCTTCGCATCCATCATCTCTCTCTCCCTATGTGTTTATTCCTTCATCTTCTTTCTTTTGGATCTCTAGAACGATGAAACTCTATGACATTTTCAATTAATGGCATCCATCTAAGTTCAACTCAAGTATTATTTTTTGGGTCGGGTTATGCTTAGTTTATCCAATCAAGCACAATCTAAGTTGAGCTTTAGTGAAAATGGCCAATTTTCTATTCTCTAGATATATTTGTATTACTTTTTATCATCTTAATGCTATTTTTTATTCATCTTTTTGAATTTTTTTTATTAATTTTTATTGATTTGTATTATTTTTAAGTAAAATTATAAAAAAATCCAATTATAACAATTAAATAAACCACCTGTGTGTTTTGACCCTAATAAAGTCCTCCCCTATAGTTTTGAGGGAAAAAGTGCAAATACCTCCTTTCTATTCGCTTTTAAAAGTTGCCAAAATACCCTTATCATTGTTAATGCATTATCATACATAATTTAAAGTTTCAAATTTACCTGCCACTAATTTATTTTGCCAAACAACTTTTTAAAGAATAATTCTCCTTACGCTTCTTGGACAAAGCAAGATAAAAAGGTTGAAGTGAAGTAAAATTAATGCATTACATCAATATTTTTTATTTGGAATTCAAATGGAATATAAATGGATTATAATTACAGTTCAATGCAAATACATCTAATATATATAAAATGATAGTAAACTCAAAAGGGTATATATATAATGTATTTTATGCAATTTAAACAATAATGGAGATAAGAGAGAATTAGTGCCATGAGTTATTGAATGAGAGAATTAATGGTGTATTAATGAGGGGTGTTAAACGTTGTAAAGGCGATTGATCAGTTGAGTTATTTTGTTAAATCTTAAAATTAAAAAATAAAATAAACAAAAAAAAAGATATATATATATATATATATATATATATATATATATATATATATATAGATGCCCTCTTTGTGCTCTATTACCCCAATGGATCAATTGTAGAGTAAGTGTAAGATTCCCTCTAGAAGCCCATGGAGTTTCCATTTGGCATGACTTATCTCCCTTTTTCCTCTCATTTTTATTAGGAAATTAACTATCCCCCACTTTCAACTAAATTATCTTTGACCAACTCGAGTTTTATTGGTCAATGTTTTAAAAACTAACCAAGAGGCCAAACCGGTTTTGCATCTGGATCACGGTTAATGGTTCAATTGTCTAGGCCGAATGGGTAAGACCGTTCCACATCAACACTCTATATAAATGTGTATATATGTGTGTGTGTGTGTGTGTGTGTGTGTGTGTGTGTGTGTGTGCAAATACATATTTTATTAATAAATAGTGTATAATTATGTTTTACATATAATATATGTATTATCTTATATTTTATTTATATTTTTTTAATCTAGTTTTAATTTTTTGGTTTATAAAAGATGCTAAAAATTGCGATTGGAGTGCAAAGTTATGGCCTCTAAAAGATTGCACATGCATTAAATATGCAACCCGCAACTTAGTGATGGTTGAACCCTCCAAGTCAGCGGTTTTTGACTGAAGGGTGGGTTTCAATAGAAGTAAACCTAGAATCAAGGACGGATGCTTTTTTGATTGGTTCAACCAGTCGAGTGATGGTTCAAGAAGTTTAATTGGTGAGGTAAATGGCAAGTATAAAACATTGGTATCGCTTTGGGTTGGTTTTCAGTTTGGTTGGGCAGTTCAAAAGATTTAAACTTTCAAAATTAAATTTAGAAATTAAATTAAATTTAAAAAATTAAAATATAAATTAAATTAAAGAATAAGTTTACAAATTTAAATTTATAGTATAAAATAGTTTAAACTAAGAAATATGGAAAATTTTCCACTTTTCAGTATTTAAAAATTTATATTTGAAATATAAAACATTAATATATATTTATGATCGAGTCAGCTCGATTTTAGTCAGTTTACAAGTAGCCAAATCAAAACTTACCCGACTTGGCCAGGTTGGGGAATTGTTGAACTGATGCTGACCGAAAATACTAGAAATTGACCAAATCAGGTCAAGTTGGGTCAATTTGGTCAGTTTCATCGATTTTATAAACAACCTTAGCTGAAATTTATTATTGTTATTTTTGTATTACACAAACTTATTAAAAATAGTATGTTTATCTTGAAAAGACAATGTGGCAATTTATCTTAGCTGCTTTTGGATTTGACCATGCTCAATCTGGATGCTCTTACTTGTAAGGCAGTTCAGACGTCAATTGCCAAGTGGATCGTCCAAACTACAAAAGAAAGAGATCAGAGAACACAGGAATGAATTGGCCCTCGGGCTTTATCAAAAAAAAAAAAAAATTAAATTCGATCAGAAATTTGTTTTCATTCTTGTGAAATCGACTTCCCAAGAAAGATAGAAATCCAAGGTTCCATTTCAAAGTCGGGCTTTATAAGCATTACTTGAGTCCCATCCAAGGCCCAACCCATTGAAGGTGTTACATTTTAGTTTGCATTCTGAGCCTAGAATTGTAAGGCCCAACCCATTAATGGACATGCATGTTGGACGGGATCCGGAAAAGAACAAGTGAGTTGACTGTAGGGCTCAGATAAGAAATCCTGATCTATATCGTGATGGGATTCAGTCACTGTAAGGCCCGTTCGAACAACCATCATAATTTTGTATTGGTATTATCTTCCCATAAAATAAAGCATAAAAGCATAGGAATGTTCCCGATGTAAGGTTGAAAAGGTTGTTCGAACAGTATTCAACAAATGGTATTATTTGAAAAGTCAAATGTACTTACGTATCTTCATAAAAATGGGGTCGGTGGGAACAAACTGGGATAGTGCGCTCCCAAAAACCAGTTAAACAAATGGAGAAAAGAGAAGAAAAAGAAAAGATAAATTAAAAGATAAATTCTGACATAATAATCTGGGTTTCATGCGCCATCCAATCTGCAGTCTGGTGAAACGATTGAACCAAAGATACTATAGTGTTATAACCCCGCTGAAACAACTGAACCAAAGCGTTAGATTTATTGTGATGGCTCCATCCTGATTTAGATGAAATGAGTTTTTTGTGGGGTGGCTGCAGTATGTCTAATAGCCCCATGCTAAGACATTGTCTTAGCAAAAAATGAATTCGAATAAAAAGCGAGTCTCTCCCAAATCGATGTATGTGGGACGGAATCCACAATAAAACATGTGAACTTGAATTAGAGCTCTATGAAGAAGTCTTGGGGCAAATTGTAAACAAATGGTGTCATTTGATAAGTCAATTCCATATATCAAGCATACATTTTTAACATTTGTTTAATGTTTATCTTGAAAAGACAACGTGGCAATTTATCTTACCTGCTTTTGGATTTGATCATACGCAATTTGGATGCTCTTATTTGTAAGGCGGTTCAGATGTCAATTGTCAAGTGGATCGTCCAAACTGTAAAAGAAAGGGATCAGAGAATACATGATTTGTAACTCGGTGAGGTCGCTCCAATGCTTAAGTTAGTATGCTAGCTATGTATGTGAGCTAAAAGCTTGATCGTATGAGACCTAGTGAGCAAATAATCGCGCGTACCTTCTGCTATGGGGTGAGTGCCCTTATATAGTTGAGTTGTCGTGGGCCTCACAAAGCCTTTCTGAGATCTTCGGGCTGGATAAGTGGGAGTTTGTTCCTCTTCGATAGGGAATAATGTGCTATCTGATAGTGCTTATCGTGTCCATCCAATTCGGGCGGGATGCAGATAAAGCCTATAGTTCCACGTCATGATCCCAGAGAGCTCGGAGACAGCTGGCAATCTTCTAGGACTTGCTACATGTCGCTTAAATAGTGTCAACCATCCAAGGTCCCCAGAGTTCGATGTTTTTCGAGGTGGCTGGGACTCCTGAAGTAACTTTACTTGCCGAGGTGAGCATAGTGTTGAGTCATCGTCCAATTGGTGGTCTCCATCCACGTGTCCTCTATTTATCAAGTCAGGCCAAATCACCCCTCGCGCATGGGTCAAGACCCGATTAGAGGAATTCACGTCAGGTTGTGTGGATTTGGCTTTAGTCTATCTGGCAGTTTGATCTCAGCATCCCCTCCAATTCTACCAGGAAACCAGATCACGTGCCATGGACACGCATACGTCACATGGATTATTAACCCTACGGACGTCAAAACACACGCTCAACTGATTTATGGCTCGATAGGAGTGCGGCCGGTTTTTATAGGAGCCATCAGATTACATCGATCTTGCTTGTCCAAAACCGACTACAGTGGCTATAAATAGGGGCCATGGGGTGCCCATTTTCTTCGCTATGATTTGTGCATTCGTGCTTTGAGCTTGTGTGTCTG